TGACCTTGGGAGAGCAGATAAAGTGAAAGACAAAAGCTCTGCTGGTTGTGCACTCCGGACGCTCAGATCAATCAAATGTTGGTCAGACAGACAGACTCATCTCTGTGTTGAATCTTAATCTGAGCATCTGAGACTCAGCCAGTGCCTTTGAGAAATGCATCAAGTGCTAAAGAGTTTTTGCTGCAGAGGGACAGTAATGGCTTCTTGTGCATGACATATTTTATGTGAAAATGAGTGTGATAAGTTGCTTTGCTGACCTGCAGAAATGTAGAGACGACATTCAGCTGGAGCTTTGTTCAACTATCACTTCCCTGCATGGAGTATCGCGACAATGTTGTGTAAATGAAATGACGACTTGCAGATACATTAAGAATTTTCCTTTTTTTTTCTCAGACATAATGTTAGCATGAATTGCTAGCATGAAAGGCTAAAGTACAGTCAGACACTAATGTGACAAGAACAGTTCATTTGGAAGATCTTTAACTGGCATATTTTGCATGGGCATTTAAATCTTTATTTTGTATGATTATTTTTATTTTACAAAACATGTTGCAATGTAATATTCATAATGCTTAGTGTACACTGTTCCAGATGTATTCGTTCAGATGAGTTGAATCAATATCTCTTCTGAACTTCTTGTTTTAGGGAGGGAATTTTTAATGTGGCAAATTTTATTCATCAAACTTGGGACTCAAGTTCTTTGCAGTGTAATGTTACAGTATATGTTGTGTGGTGTATGTTTCACCTCTGCAACAGTATTTTTTGTGTCTTATAAGTCCAGGAACATCTGTGTGCATGGAACAATAGATAATATAAATACCACACTTACTATAGTCATATCTTGCACAGTTTCAGTCTAATTTGAGCATCTGGGCCCTGTCACACGCTTTTCCAACAGTAAACATCTCCCAGTAAATATATTAATAAATACCTTTTTTTTACCTGTTGTTGATGAATCTGTTTCAATGCATCACATAAAAATTATTATAAAAGAAGACAGCTTGCAGGCAATTCATTTCTAAAGCCAACTGCATGCAGGCATCCAGTATCAGTTATGTACCAAGATACCTTGTGTGAAAATTAGCATTTGATTATTTCCCTTTGCTCTCCTTCTTCTTCCATTAGCAACACAACTTTATCGTTCTTGAGGACTAAAAATGTAAATTAGCAGTCTAACTAACAAACTGTTATCATTCTGAATGGTCTCTGCGGATGTTTGTGTATTTTATGAGGAAGCGAAGCCACTCTTCTTTAGTGCAAATTATATTATAGTCTGGTACAAAATAAGATGGCAAACCATAAGTAAAAAGGCCACAAATCACTGAGTGACAGTGCATACTGTAGCTTTGGAAAAGAAATGATTAGACTTTGTCACAATGATGTAGCTTAATAAGCGAGGAGTTTATTTTGAACGTCTCCATCCACAGTGAGACCTCCCCCCTCTCTGCCTATCTCTGTCCACACAGCGCTGTCAGTCAGCTCATTTCTCTTTCTTGTGCCTGAGGTTGATATAAGATACGGAGAACACCACATTAAAGCCTGCTCTTCTTTCCCAAAACTTAAAATGAGAAACACACTTAGAATACAAATAGCCATAGATCAAATGAATGGTGGGGATTTTGAACTCCTTATCTCACTCAGTTAGTCAGTTTGGAGTTGGCGCCTGTTACAAAGGCCCAGAGAGTGGACTATGGCCTCAGAGATCCTCCCAGCTTTCCCTCCGCCTGCAGTGGAAACAGGTACCTCTAACACACATATCAAATATTAAACTTTGCCTCCAATATTTTATTTTTTATGATAGCCTCTTTGAAAAAAAATCTCTATTTTCTACTCAAGCATTTGCTGTATTTTGCCCGTCCTCTTCTGTATTTATTTATTTTTATTTTTTTGAAAAGTTGATCCATGAGACTCCAGTTCATGCAGGATTTTTAAGAAGGGAATTTTTCTTTTTTTTGAGACAGACATTAAGACCGCTAATCCCTATGTTATGCCTCTGTTGCTCTGGAATGATTTCTGACAGGTATTAAAAGTAGGACTGGTGTTTGAAGTTCTTTTTAGTCCACATTTTGAACTTGGAGGTACGTACAGACTTTGAGAGTTTGAGCCACAAAAAAAAAACCCAGAAGTCTCTTCAGCTGTGATGTGTTTAATCAGCCTTCATCAGCCAATCATGGGAATTTCAAAAAGAGCCTGTTAATTTCCATAAAATTTCCGTTTAGTGGGGATTGATGGAAAGGGCTGCTACTGCTTGTCAACCAGAAATGTGATTAAGCTCTGAAATATTCTCTGTCAATTGCAGAACCCTTGTTGAGCTTTCACCAAAAGCAACTAAGATATTCCCTTACTCGTTATGCCTTCTACAGTGGAAGAAATGAAAAGAGAAAATTATCTGCTTTGAATAACCTCCGTTTAATCCCAAATTCAGCTTCTTGAGTCTGCACTTTTGCTGGCAGAACATCGTCCTTTCAGCAGTGATATTGCCTAATGTTACTCTGCACATGTAGGGAATGAGTGGATTTGCATGCTGAGTGTAGATATGAGCTTCAATCTGTTATCAGTTATCTTGTTTCGGATCAACATATATACATGTGGTTCACCTAAATCACTGTATGTCATAAATAGACAGTACAATATCAAATGACCTCCTGCAGCCTTGTTTCAAATCTGTTCTGTAACAATCAAATATCCTGTTCAAAGCGTTCTGTATTGATTTGAAACTTAATTTCTCATTCAAAAATAGTCCAGTAGTTTATGTAATTCCATTAAAAACTGTAAAATATCTAATAACTAATATAGAGTTCTAGGCAAGATGTACATTTACTTCACACTGAAAATAAAGCCACATAACACTGTCCTCCCACAGTCATTTTCACACAATGCTTTAGGAAGAATTTATCACCAAGGGATTCCATTTTTGTAATAAAAGGAATATTACAGTCCTTATAGAGGAACATTATATCAAAACGATGGCAAATCTTCCTTTAAGAATATTTCTTCTTGAGAAATGCATAAACAGCTCAGTGAACATATTTCCATCAGCTCCCTGGTTCGTTTTAATGATCATCGTATTTTGGGTTCATATCTGACATAAAAAGATAAGATAAAGAGTCTCCAGCATGCTAAGCACAGTGGCACTTTAAGGTAAATGCTGATGTGAGCGTGCTAACATGTTCACAATGCAAACATGTTGATGTTTAGCAGGTATAATGTTGTGTTCACCATCTTTGTGTTAGCATGCTAATTGCTAATTCGCACACAACAGAATTTACAGATGAGATTGACGGGGATGTCATTAGTTTTACAGGTGTTTGCTCATGAACCAACGTATTGGGCAAATTTAAGTTTTCAACTGATGGTGGCGAAACATGAAATGATCTCAACAGGAAAACAGATGTCACTGCAATCCATTTTATATTTGTCAAGACAGTCCTCACGGTAGTACAAGATTAAAAGTAGGGTGTTCATCCTCTGGGAACCATGAATGTCTGTACAAAATTTGGTGCCAAGCCATGTTGAAATATTTGACCTGCTGGTGGCACCAGAGGAAAAATCAGAGGATCACAAAAATCTTTAAAATTCATCCTCTGGGGACTGAGAATATCTGTAAAATTCATGTATGAAATTTTATATTTGTTGCAACATGCAGCTATATAGCTAAAACCTCATTAGCATAGTCAATATCTTACCAATGAGTCTCAATTATTTCATAATTGCCTTGTCAGTGTCAACATGCCATTTTGACATTAAACAATTCAAAAAGAACACCAGCTGACTGTGGTCTATTAGTTTTAATAAGGGCAACTACAGCTTCTGTGCAATACTGCCAGTCAACTCTGGGCATATGAGATACTGCAGTGATAGACTGAAAGTGCTTATGCAATTTTTTCAAAGGCGAAATGTTGCAGTCTTGCATCATGCATGTCCTGTAGCCTGAGTTCTGTTTCCCTGTGATGATATCATCCTCCTTTCTTCTTTCCCCTGGTGTTTTATCTAAAACGTGTTATCATTATACACTGAAGAGTGGCGAATGTCGCATTTGTTTTAAGTCTTTGCTGAAATACCCTCATACAGCTTCATGCAAAAGACATTAGAGCTCAAAGAGAGATTGAAATTATACTTCATGTAACATTTCAACAGTGTTTCCTCATTCAAGTCAAAAGTACTGCACACTGTGCCTTCATTCAAAATAACACGAGACAGGTGCATTTATTTCCTGTATCATTTTTCAGCATTGCAGGGAGGAGTGGGATAAGTTGAATAGAAAGCTAAGGAGTTTTTTCTCTTTTCACCTCCCTGTTGCAGGACTGATTCCACATTTAAAAATATTACCTATTATAAATTATACTCCAGGCTACTCTATGAAATCACAATAAGAATCAAAATCTGCCTTATTGGTCAAGAATGTTTGACTCCAGGTTCCAGTGGCTTTCAGTGTTCTTACATAAAGTGCCGAGAACAAATTTACAGGAAGATACACACAGACGTACAGCTACAACAAGGACAACAGAAGTAAACAAACATAGAGATGAACAGGAGGGGATGGGATTAATTCACTGCAAGACTCATCAAAATTATACATCACACGGGGCGCACAAAGAATGTTGGAAGTCAGGATCATCCACAGCATATTGCCACTGCTTTTTCAACAAGAGTAATTTTGAAAAGGAAAAGTGACTGTTATGATCATTAAATTGATCAAAGGTGCTCACAACTGTTTAAAATGTTAAAAAATACTTTGACCTTTAAATGGTTAATGGAAAATATTTAAATAGCATTTTGGCAAGGTCTACATTAGATACATTTTATTCAAATCAAATCAAATTAAATCAAATATTTATTTTATTTTATTTATTTTGTCAATGCACAGACTCTCCTCAGCCTTCTCCACAAAGCTCCAGTGGACTAATTTGATTGGTCCGTAGATATGTAGGAGCTCTCGTCCTATCTCGCGATACTGAAAATCCTTCCCAGTGAGAAGCGGATCCCAAGCTGCACTCAGTCGCTGTTGTGGCTGGGAGGCAGCACAGTCAGCCAGTCTCTTTGGTTGCACTGTGATTTAGTGTGAGGTAAAGTAGGACTCTTTTAAACTAACCGACCCACCGAAGACAATTACTACTCTCGTCCCTGAACAAACTCCTGCTCTGCACGACACCTTTGATTCTCCAGGTAAGATTGCTAACGTTGCGTCTTGTTGGCTCCCTCTGTCCAGACACTCATATGCAGTGCTAGCTGATATTTTCACAGTTCACTTTCACATCAGCATAGAAACATTTAAATCCCACCAGTCTTCGTCTCCTCTTCTGTCACATCTTAGCCTTGCGAAACACTTAACTGTTAAGTCTTAAATTCAACCTTCAGCTTGTCTGCTTGTGTTAACGGAACCAGAGGGGAGTGCAGGAACTTCAAATCTCACTGTTGACTGTCTCTGAAATGCATACCCCTGTTAGCTTGTATGCTAACGATACATCTGCTTAGTATAAAGTAGCTGTTTGCTGTCTCACTAGCTAGCTGGCCATATCGCCACAGAAATATCAGTGTTTTATATTATTATCCTGTTGGTGAGGTTGTGACGATGGCTACGTGAGAAAGCCATGGCAGGCTGTTGTTTTTTGCGAATAGACCAGGTTAGAAACCGACAAACTTAACTTGTGCCACGGGTCATTTTTGGTTTTAACGGCAGTTTAGCTGTTGGTTTCTACTAAAGATGTTTTTACCGCAAGCCGTTGTAACAGAATGGCAACAGTACTTCGAAAAAGTTTTAGACACTAACATTAAAGTGAGGATGCTTTCAAATGTAATGGCATGAATAGTTTGTACTTACTAAATGCAGCAATCAGAAAAAAAAAAAAAAATCAAATATCAATATTAAAATCAATATTTTACGTGACCAGCCTTTGCTTTCAAAAGCAAGCAGCAGTTCTCCTTGGTACACTCCTCGCTTTTTCAAGGAACTTGGCAGGTACAGTACGTTGCTCCAAGCATCTTGGAAAACTTGTCACAGTTCCTCTGTGGATTTAGGCTGTCTCAGTGTCTTCTGTCTCTTCATGTAATCCCAGACTGACTCCATGATGTTGCAGGGCTACTTGTGTGTTGCTACTTTGATGTTGCTGAACATTGTTCTTTTGGGCTCTGGCTGTGTACTTGGGCGTCGTTGTCATGCTGCAGAATGAATTTGGGACCGATAGGATGCCTTCCTGGTGGCAGGGAGAGTCTAAACATCTAAAGTGCTTAAAACCTTCACACTGTATTGTCCTTTTAATTGCAAGTTTACTCTAGTTCTCCTCGGTGTGTAGCAGACAATGTCTCTTTTTAATGTGCAGTATCGTCTCCAACCTCAAAGATCCCCCCCCCCCCACCCCACCCATGAATTCTCCACCCACACGTGGCACACATTTCTACAGCTGTCCTGTTGTTATAGACCGAATGGAAAAGACAGCTTATGTGCAGTTGTGCTCCTGGGAGTACAGTAATCAGAGATGCAATCACACTAACTTTACTTTTTAGTAGTCAATACTGTCCTTGACTGCGTACCAGTTCTTTAAAGTCTAATCCCTCTCTGGTTTAGTAACTACACAGCTGTTAACAGTGTGTATTGTTAAGGATCTTCTTTATTTGGCATTAGGCTATTTTGAGGGTACTGACATTTGTCCATATCCTTCTAAATGTCCATGAAAGAAGATAAGATAGGTTTTTATGTCCATGAACTTATAGTGAAATGAAGGTATACATAGTATAAGAGCAGGATTGATAAATTGGCCAGACCAGTATATGAACCAGTCACATATCAACAAGAAATTGTCGTTCATGATAGACCACTGTCAACTCTCAGCATATATCTTGGTCACAATTCTTTAATTTAATGACCAAATTTAAGGGTTTCTTATGAAAATTGTTTTTGTGTTTTGTGCATATGTTAACAAAGGAATACTGCAGGATATATTGTTATCAGATTTTAATTACTGAAATTGAAAATAAACCTCAAATTTCTAGTGTCGGTCAGGTTTTATATAGTATGATTTTACACTAACTAAAGACACGCTAAATAATAAATACTAAAACATATTAAAATAAAATACAGCAAAATGAATTTAATATCAGATTGTAATTTAAACATAAACTCTTAACATATATATAATACAAACAATTTTGATACTAATCTCTTTGATTATTTTTTTCTTGCCGTTTTAAATTGGCTCAAACCTAGTTTAGAAATTTCTTTACTGCAGTTTCTTATTACATATCAACGCACATATACACTTTTACTGATACATCTGCAATATACAAATATTGACCGATTTGTTCTAGCTTTAGTCTTATTGATCCAACGGGCAATCATACTTAGTTAATCCATTCATTTGTATGAAAATGAGGATTTCCCCAAAGGAAATTAAAGTCCACTGATATAAATGTAAATTGGGCCGTAGGCCACATAACGATTTCCCTTTATCCTATGTGTATTCCCACAAAAGTATTTTTTGTAATAAAAGCAGTCAAGCTGAAAACATTTGTTGAAAATAGACGTGGTATGTGAGAGGAGAGAGTTTTTTTTCAGTGGGCTTGTACTGCTTACTTCTCTGCTGGTCTGCACCTTGCTCAGTGTTTGATCTCTGAGTGTGTGAATTCCTCTTAACAGATAGTATTAAAGAGTGTCCTAGGCTCCTTTTGTGTCCTCAATTCAACAAATAACCTCATGTCTATTCTAACAAATAGTTAGTGATTGAAAGGAGCAAGTAGAACAGCTTCACTTTTACGGTTGGTTTAGGAAGGTCAAGTTTCAAATTGTGATGACAGTTGTTGCTCACTGGGTCTTTCTGCTATGATTCGAATGTCATATGTCACTACACTTTCATCACACTGTATACCAAGTAGTTTTTTTTTTAATAGTAGTTGTCTACCAAATGCCTTAAATGCTTGCGCAAAAGCCAACTGAAGCATGTTAAATTGTTTCTTTAATTCCATTTCATTAATCATATGCCTGCTTCTTGCCTTACACACGCCTCAATAAGTGTATTTGCACAACAATAATTTGATTATAATAACTGAGTTAAAGTAATACTAGGTTACACTCATAAACGGTGTAAGAACAATCTGATTAACTAAGCTGGTTTTTTGATCAGTCACTGAGTTTATTTCATCATGTATATATATTTTTTCATCTGGTGGCGGAGCTCAAGGCGAACAGTTGCTTAAGACCACCACTATTTGTGTGTGGGGGGGGGGAAAAGCCTTTGAATCTCCCACTTTGGGTGTGGACTCTTCTACATAGACAAATGAAAGAGCTCTTGTTAAACTGATCTACTCTGTCAGATATAGTGAATACTTGACAAAAAAAGCAGAGCTAATAAAGCAGCAGGCAGCTGAGAAAATCAAAAAGCAGATATCACTACAAGAGTGGACACTGGACTCCACAGCTAAGTATAATGTGTCAGACATGTCTCCTTTCAAAGCCTTTCAAAAGCTTTTATTGAATTATAAAAAAGAACCTGTTCGGTCTTTCTTTGTGTGCCACATCAACACATGAAAAATAGCTTTGTCTGAGAAAATTATTCCTCATACTGAACATTACTCTTTAAGCTTGGTATACTTATTTGAGTTCTGACTTTGGGAATTCTCTCAACTCAAAAATGTGCTAGTAAGGTTTAGGTAAAAACTTAAAACTGAAATATAGGGGTGTAATTATTCAGAAACATTTTCATTCCAGTTGTAATCTATGACATTATGGCAGCCATTCTGTCAAACTTGGCAACCAACAGTGATTCCTGGCAGCCAATCTGGCTACCATTTCTATAAGTTGCTGTCGGGCACTGTCTGGTTTCATTTGGTTGCTCTGAATATGCACATGAACCAGAAAGGCAACGGAGAGAAGCGAACGCGGAACACAAAGTGACGTAGAAGACACTGACATATTAGAGGTGGAAGCGAAGAGCGACTGTTTTCATGGTGTGTTTAAAATGCACACCGGCGCACACAGTCTGAAAATCTTAAATGATAAAATACTTGCATTAATATATTTCATGTGTATATTCATGTGGATGAATATATGATAAAGATACAGTTTATCTTTAATAAGAACATGTTGCTAATTTTCAGCATAAATGTATAAAAGTAAATTTTGGGTTAATTAATTTAACCATGAATTGCTTGTTTCTTGGTTTGCATGTTGTAAAATTCACAGAAGTTGAAGCTTGGTTTGGCACAATCACAGCTTTAAACTACTTACTGACTAAAGCTGCTTAAAACTAAGGTGCTCCTGTTTGTGCCAGCTGGCTGATACAAATGAGTGGAAAAAATATATGAATACAGTGTAGAAAACAGAATAAGTGACAATTAATCGAAATAAGAATTTAGTATATGGTTTTTTGGTTCAGTATATGGTTTCATAGCCAGTGAGAACGTACAGAAATGTGCCAACAAAGACTTAGAAACAAACACAACCCTGTTCCTATTTTCGAGTCCAAACACTAAGAGCTGTTGGCAGGTTGCTAATTAGGCAGTCACCGAATAAGAAGATAGAATTGACAGAAATGCTTAAAGAAGACAAGTACACTATATCAGAATCTAAAATATTGTATTTAAAGGTGAACAGTGTGGAATAGAATACCTTCTCATACTTCAGTAGGAAGAGAGGCGATTCTCAGTGATACTTTAAATACCAACAAACTATTTAGACTCGAACAAAGAGCTTTAAAATCCATAAATCTTAGAACCTGGCAAAGTAATCCTTTAGTCACTGGTATTGATCAACAGCTCTATCCGCCCCTCTTAGATGTATTAGGGCCATTTCCTGCTGTGGTGCAAAATGTTCCTGTTCAAAAGTTACTCGTACAGCAGAAATTGCCATGCAGCGTGACGCCGTTTTTATCCACCTTCATATTACAGTTCTGTTGCATATACTTTATTATATTATATAATCACTACCTAATTTGAAATGGGTTATGTATGACACGCATGACTTCAATTTAGTCTTGCAGCGTCTTCTGCATAATGAGTTAATGATATGTCTGTGACATTTTGGCTTTATGTGTTATTTATGTGACTTTCTTTCGCATACATGTATACACTCATATGGACACAGGCATAGTCAAAAAAGACCTATAGATGCAGCTCTGATCTCTGAGCATGTTTCTGTTTTGTTCGCAGCTTCTGGTGTCTTGGCAGAGTCTATT